ACTTGGAGGAGCTCGTTCATTTTGAACTGATGGGTGAACCATATGGCGCTGTAGACCCCATCTCGTCAATGCACGATGGTCTAGTCGTGGAGTTGTAATCGGTAGAGGTGGGGATAATTTAAATAGATCGATGAAATTGGAGTAAACCAGTGTAGCATGTCAATGTCGTTTTGTTAATTAGTACTTGCGATAGTATTTCGATCTGAATGTCGATGTGGATGATGGTGCTGCCATTTTGGACGAGCGATTGGAACGCACAATGTTATTAATATTTCTACAAATAAAGAACTACTACTGTACTAGTAGTAGTTACGAACATAATCAAATAAAGAACTACTACTGTACTAGTAGTAGTTACGAACATAATCCCCTGGTAACGAGTTTGAAGTTGGTCAAAGTTTACGAACATATAGAAATGAAAATAAATCAAATTTGGGATTGTAGGATTTATACGCATAAACCCCGTTGGCTGAAATGTCGAGATTGGACTCACTGTCAATATTGTAATGTGGCGGACAGCGAAATGAAATCACCTCACCTTTACTACCGTACTTTACGACTAATACAGAGATTTCGCAACTCATGTTATTCGCCCCATTCCCGTTCCTGAGTGTATGGCAACCGGAATGGGAATGCAAACTTGATGGTTTCGAACTACGATAGTCAGTCAAACATAAAAGTGGTTTTGCACATTGGAGTGCTAGAGTGAGGGCTTGGCATTCCAGTGGAGAGGTCACAATTCCATACTTCAGGTTGATTGGATATGAACAACATGCGAGGCGCCGATGCCCTGTAATCAGTTTTGACGTCGCGGTGTCCTCCAGTATACCTCACTATGTAGATAACTCAAAAGAGAAGTTCAATGGCTTCGTCAGAGGTCCAGTTCCATCTATTGTTCCTAAGGCCCTTCGCTACCAGTGATGGACGGGAATGGGAGAGTCACACGTAGATTTATGCAATTGTACGGTAAGAATTATAGAAAATTAGAGATTTGGCGTTCACGATTTAGATTTAAGAGGTTACGGGAATGGGAACGCGAAAAACATGACTTGCGATTTCGCAAGTCATATTAGAGAAATTTCGCAAGTCATGTTTTTCGCGTTTTCATATGTTGAGTGTGGTACTCCGTTGCGCATAGCCCGTTTCTGTTCCGACGTTTTTAACTTTGATTGGCAATTCGAATGCGTTGTGCGTATTGTTAACAAACAGTGTCACGATAAATCATTGCATAAAACTACTTTTGTAACGAAATGCCTTAAAACGTTATTGAATTCGGCCACATTCAGGCTCCATTTCGTCCGATTCGGTTTTACTCGATTCAAAAATGACCAAAACGCATACAAATCGCGAAAACACATACTCCCACGATAATTCGTCAAAACAAGTACACACTCCTAATTGTATCCTAAAGTTAGTGATACATCTGAAAGACAATTGACATTACGAATTGTGAAATTACAGCTCTACGATCTCAACCAAGTCAAGTTCCACTAGAGCGGCAAAGAGGGCGTCATCCATATCCAAATCACTTTCAATGAGTGAGTCAGCAGTAGATCCGCAGGCTGGCATACAAACGTAAAGGATGGAGGCACCTTGATCAACTCGACGTTGATGGACTCAGCATAGGCTGCCACGCCGGAGAAGAAGCGGTCGATGGTTTCCGCGGTAGTGTGGGAGTCCCGGTATTGCAAGATAACATGCTTCTGCTTGTACGTGTACCTCGAGTATTTGTACTCTTTGGGCTTGCGCCGCGTGGGTCGAGTCATGTCGTCAAATTTTCTGTGATTGGGTGTGGTGTTTCAGATTTCAAAACCCTTCGTTCAAATTGTCATTTTCAAATATCGCGCCACTACGTGGATATAATATATAAAAGGGTATGCATATCTGGAGGGATCACCAATGGAGCAAATCAAAATTTAGAGGTTGCTAAACGGTGTACCACACTCAACATTGAGTCGTAAAATACGGTATGGTGCATGTCATAGGAGGAGACGTTTTACTATTAAACGCCTCGGTTATTTCAGTTAAACCCCCGTAATGTTGACGTTAAATTATTTTTACTTACGTTTTTTATCTTGTAAATAGGTTAAACATCCTGCATAATCCGGATACCATGGAAACGTTCATACGGATAAGTGCTGTTTACAAAGACCAAGATATACGTGATCCTCCTTTTCGGCCAAAATGTGCCTGGCTCCATATATTTCCATACAAAAAGGCTGTTTGGTTTAAATTCTATTACTCGATCAATTTTTTACCAATCGAAATTTTGAACCGTAACTTCTGTTGGTCTTGACCAGTTCTATCGTTATTACGGCTTATTTTCCTAAAAAATATCAATACATAGTTGGAATAGCTGTCGAAAGACAAGGCATTTTTTTGTAGTCTTTAGTTGAAATGCACCATAGTATTAATTACTGTAGGTGTCTGTTTGTACATGTAGTACAAATTCCCGATTAAAACAGTTCCACTGTTTGACTTCTCAGAAATTGTGGTTGATATGGGATATACTGTTAGTCTACTCTGACCATCAACCACTTACAAGGGGATCACTGTAGTATTATATGTACTCACGGCGGGTAAGACCAAGTCGCAAGGTACAGATAGGGCTATGGGCTATAAAGTGTATCCGGATTGCATAATTACCTCATTGACTGTGAAACAGTATTTCGGGTCGTAAAAACAGTGGAAGTGTATTAATCGGGGAATTGCTCGTGTGTGTACGATGGCACTGGAATACATACTATGTAGAATTCCCCCACTATAAAGGTATACGTAGTAGTTTGGGTGTTTTAAAGTAGGGAGGGTATACCTGCTGTGGGGAATTATTCTTTACTACTACTGTACGTACTACACATTTTTGCAGTTAAGTTGGACGAATGCCCGGTATATTTGGTCGTGTGCCCGATATATTTGGCGGTGTGCCCGATATATTTGGCGGTGTGCCCGATATATTTGGCGGTGTGCCCGATATAATTGGCCATGTGCCCGTTAAATTTGGCACCCGGATGTGTGCACACAGCTAATTATATCGGGCACACCGCCAAATAAATCGGGCACACGACATCCGGCTTCGCATCGCATGACGTGTTTCGTAGCCTTTGGTCGATAAAGGCTATGCGGTCACACGATGCCTTGTCCACAACCGCCCCGTTTTCTAAGTTGGGTGAAGGATATTTTTCATGCAGCAGTCGATTGCCACCCAAAGACAATGACCATTGCTCACAGAGGTTCAGTCCACAAGACCAATTCGTCGAAGCTCGGCTCGAATGTTTCCGACAAAGTCAAATCCCAATGGGGGTGGAATAGATTTCACGAACTTGGCGTAGCTTGTGGCTGTACCAGCGGGGCCATTCGGACGGTCGAAATCAACATCGAAGCAATCGTCACTGGATTCGTCGCTGCCGGCGCTCAGCGACTTGTTTTGCCTAATCGCACAGCTTGTGCTAGCCGCGTCATATCTTCATGCTCGTGCTGGGGGAACCGGGATTGTGCGAAAGGTCAGCACTGCTTGTGCTCGCCGCTTCATCTTCAATCGTGACGCTCGCGCCTGGAGTACCTGACTTGCGCAAAAGGTCGGCATTGCTTGTGCTAACCGCGTCACCAATAATCCTGAGAGCACATGATGTGAGCGAATGAGTATCGCTGGTGCTATCTACGACAGCAGCAACTTGGACGTGAGCATGCATAAGCGCATGGCCCGAGCTACACGAGCAACGTGACGCTTGCATGTTGAGCAGTATATCTTGTACGCGGGTCATTGACTCTTGAAGGCGCCGCATGTCACATCGGAGATCCACCACTTCCTGTAGAAGCCCATCATCGATGTTGATGTGCTTTGTGGGGGCTTCATGGACATCTCCGCTGCGTCACCCGTGCCATTCGGTCTGATTATGACCGCCTCGAAGTCTTGGTGCGATCGTTCCAGTGGAAATGAATGATTATGCGTTGTATGCTATGTTAATATTGTAAGGTCACAACTTTCACGACGTTTAATCGATACCTCATCTTTGATTGTAAACATGCTCGTCGTAATGGTGGAGCTTCCACTGTCCACACTTTGAGATAGATTCGTCCGAACAAATGACAAGTCGGCCTTGCATCCTCGTATTCCGGGGTATCGCCCGGAAATATCGCTGTAGGACACCTCGCCAGGCGGACTTCCGAGTTCCCTTTCGAGTTCCAGTTCAAACGTGCGCCCAGGGAACACGTGTACATCTTCACCGCTCGGTGGACGCCGTCGAAGTCGCTCCATTGCAGGGCTCCTGTTGTCGACATGGCCCCCTCTCCGTTCTTGATACACCACGTCGCAAAACTCATCTTGCTGCAGCACAGACAGTTTACGCCTCACGATTTGTTAGCCCAAGCAACACAAGCAGATTATTCAAATAGAATTTTGTTTCATTAAAAACACTACTTGATAAATTCATCGCAAACTGCCTAGTTCTAAGAGCATCTCCACCGCATCCCCAAATATGTCCCAACTCGATATTGGGACATCCGATGGGACAAAATCTTCCCCACCGGATGTCCCGAAAACCAAATTTGGGGTTGGGACATCGACTATGTCCCGAAAATTGCACACTATTGGGATATCCCAACTAATTGTCCCAACAAATATACTACGATTTGTATGGAAAAGCAAGTCCATTCGTGCAGTTTCCCAATGTCGGCTTTGGACACAGGAACTGGCGGTCGGTATCGTGAACCACGTCTCGCCGTCGTCAGGCACGCGGACGACGTGGCTGAACGAGAGTCACCAGCATTCATTGATACAGCGATATCTGGCCTATATAGCTGCGGCAGTGATTGCTGGTGACTCTCGTTCTGACGCTACGGCCGACGCGGGTTTGTCCAAGAGGCGCAACCGCATAACGCTATGTGGTCGCGCATATCGGACAAGGGTCCGCAGCAACAATTACACTCTATAACTTGGTGCGTGGGATTACAGAATCCCTGCGGTCAAGTAGGCTTGCAAGTACCGGCATCACCGACCTTGGGAAACTCAATAACGTAAGCAAGACGGTGGTTACCATCGACATGCTATACCGCCATAACCTCTGAAAAGTTAACTACAACTAGAGAGAGGCAAACACCGTTCATAACTCCGTTCTAGAGTGAACCTGGCAGCATCTCGATGTCATACCATGCACTTCCGGCTTCAGGTCAATTGGGAAGAGGACAGACAGCTTACCAAAACGGAAGATTTTTTGGAGACATCCCAAAAACAGCGAACTGGCTCTAATTTAGGGATGGGGACAAAAATATTTGGGGATGCAGTGGAGATGCTCTAAGTATACTTTCAGATAATTTCTTTTGAAATATTTGTTTAAAAAACCAGGATGACAATTTCAAGACATACTGTCTTGTTCTCATTATAGTATAACATGCATGTATTTAATATAGCATTGATGTCTAATTTGATTGCTGATCATTTTAGCCCACACGATTGGCCCGGCGGTCATTGCGAAGGGTTTCGGGGTTTCGGGGATGTTCGAGCCGTATCAACTCCACAATGGTACTTGAAGTATGCCAACGAACTCTGCCTATGGAAGCAGTTTCTCGTCCTGGCAACATTTCACCGGCACTGTTCGTTTGCTTGCGTTGCACGGTGAGTTTGAGATACGTCGCGGTAAAGGCAGCAATAGTCGCTCACGAAGCTGGACGTGTAAGAGCTGGGGTTGCACGTTTGAAGCCCGAGGAAGCATGTCCAAAACAAACATGGTACGTTGAGAGTTATAGGAATATCGCTACAACTGTGCGCGATCAGTGTAATGAGGCATGTGTAGATTCACGTCACTACCTTGTGCTTGGAACACGACCATGCGCTAGGCCTTCGCGACGACAAGAATGACAATGAAACAGCCGGGGTGACGGACGGGGTGGCATCTACCAATGACGCGTTGTGGAGCGATTTTTTCGATTGCGAGATGGAAGAAAGCGTGGGCTCGGCGGAAAGCGAGCATAGGGTCACCCATGGGTCAAACTCTGAAAATGAGTACGATTCAGACAGATCCGTGGAAAGTGTGAAGTCAGACAACACGGTGATGTTTGACCCAAGCGACTCACGACGAGGGGCTATGCGTGATGCCATACGACGGAACCGGACGCTCACACAGGAACAGGTGCTAACCACTACTAACCACTACTATTAATAGTACACGGCGTCTTGCGGAATGTATGTTACAGAATGTATACATATACATACGTTTAGGCAGCCCAGACAGTGGTGGAATTCGTATCTCAGCTGCCAACGTTGGACGAGAAGCAAGCGCTAGTGACATGACCACTTGTGCGTGCTGCACTATTGAAGAAATACGTGTACAAGGCGACGCCATCGTTCGTGTCCAGTGCTCGATGCCGTGCTGAAGAACTGATGTACGGCAAGATTGAGGTTGGATATCAACGCCTGGACTTATACCTTGACTTGCTCTGTGACGACAACCCCGGTACTAAGTTCCAGTTGAAACTAATAAATGGACCACATAATTACAAATGCAGCAGCAAATGGTTTGAAACCAATGCCGAGGAGCGGTTTTCAAGATGCATGTTCGTACCGACTAGCTTCAAGCAATGCATGGAAATGTGCTAGCCCGTTATCGCCCTCGACGCATGCCACATGAAAGGCGTATACAACAAGTCGGGAGTATACCTAACGGCCAGTGTGAAGGACTGCGATCACAAGAACCTATTAATTGCACTAGCTATTGTGCCCAAGGAAGCTGGGGAGCACTGAAAGTGGTTTTTTGAAAACCTAAGCGCTTCGGGGCTTGAGATACCAAAGTACTCGATGTTTGTGTCCGACCGATTTAAGGGTACGTCGACATGTCACACGGATGCCTAACATTTATTTATAGGACTATTGGAGGGTGTGACCGCGGTATTTCCTATATTTCCTAACTCAGTACATCGATACTGTATGTTTCACGTTGCATTGAATGTGGCAGCCTCAACTGGGGGACTGACAAGATCAGGTCGACGTAGCGTGATGAAGGTGGTCTCGTCAAGAACGAGTGACGATTTCAAGAACAACATGTCTGCCCTGCAACGCACACTCCCACAAGCTGCAAAGTACCTCATGGAAGTGAGCCCTGGCATCCAACGTTGGGTCCAATACGAGATCAATGCATGTGGCTACGGCACATTTGGAATCAAAACATCAAACACCGCCGAATGCAACAACGCATGGATGGGCGTTTGGATGCGATCATCAGACCCAGTAACGGTGTTTTTCATGTACATGTGTAAGCTGCTACGATTATTCAAGAAGAAGAGGCAGTCGGCTGCACGCACGCACACAAAGACCCCGCAAGTCTTGTTCCATCCGCCGGATCCGTTGTCGAAAACTCGTACAAGTGGTGTCGTGGATATGAGGTAAATTCATTCTTTCACACCATTTTGACCTTCAACATAGGCAAGTTCTTTGGATGGCGACGAGAATGCAATCGAATTCATCGTTCGCCATGCCAGTCACTCCGAGTGGACAGGGGGGCGACTTCACCGAGTAAATACGGCAACGGCAACTTGTACGTGTGGACGATGGCAGGACAATTGGATCCCGTGCCATCATGCGTTCGCAGCCAAGGCAAAGTTGAGTTGAGTGCAGTTCATATATATATCACAAATTAATCTTATGTTATTAGGGTTGCCGAGGTTCTACTTCTATAAAGCTCAGCAAGATCTCTACAATTCCAGGGTGTGACCATCGCTTCCACGGAACCTCAACGAAGACACCACTGTGTTGCCACCCTTAGCGGTGTCTCATTCAGGGCCAAAGTGAGTTCAAAATTTCAGTCGAGCTAGTGTAATCAATGTACTTCCGTAGAAAGCGAGGGAGGCCAAAATGGAAACAGATTGAGTCAGGAGGGCGACGATGTTAAACGACCAGTCATAAATAGGTTTCAATTTGCGCGTATGAGTGCTCATTAATTCAAGCTTAGATGAACTGTAGCTGCTTTACTTTCCAAAAGGCTGTCGCACATAGCACAAGCTGTGCTGGACTCGTATCAGATAGCACAAGCAGTGCTGGGTGCAAGTATCAGATAGTAGCACAAGCTGTGCTGCGAACTGGCTCTATTTTGCCTACAAAGCCGCACAATAGAGCCGGTTCTGCCTACAAAGTAGAATTAACGTTACCTCCTTTCATGACTGGTCAGACATCCGGATACTAATATATGACCGAGTCATTTTGCAGCGATCGATTATGGGATTGGGCCCTCGATCATCTCGTGTACGGTTAATGATTTATCAGTAATTCAGTAATTCACTATTTTCGGAAATCACTCGATGTTTTCCAAGAACACTGATTGGTCACAAGAACGTCCTAATAAACCCCGAACCCCCGAAATCCCGAAACCCCGAAAATAGAACTTTGGGTGAACCTGAACAGAATCTCATGACAATTGAAGTCATGACTGTGGATGACTATGACGGTGATAAACTTTGGTGAAACACGAAATTGAC